GGGGAGAGCGAGGGAGCGAGAGCACGAGCGAGAGAGAGCGAGAGGGAGCGGGGGCGAGGGAGCGAGCGAGAGAGAGCGGGAACGAGAGGGAGCGAGCGAGAGCGAGGGAGGGAGCGAGAGAGAGCGGGAACGAGAGGGAGCGAGCGAGAGCGAGGGAGGGAGCGAGAGAGAGCGGGAGCGAGAGGGAGTGAGTGAGAGCGAGTGAGAGCGAGCGAGAGAGCAAGGGAGCGAGAGAGAGTGAATGAGAGGGAGCGAGAGAGAGGGAGCGAGAGCATGAGGGAGCGAGGGAGAGCGAGCGAGAGAGCGAGGGAGCGAGGGAGCAAGCAAGAGGGAGCGAGAGAGAGCGAGGGAGCGAGAGAGCGAGGGAGGGAGCGAGAGAGCGAGGGAGGGAGCGAGAGAGCGAGGGAGGGAGCGAGAGAGCGAGGGAGGGAGCGAGAGAGCGAGGGAGGGAGCGAGAGAGCGAGGGAGGGAGCGAGAGAGCGAGGGAGGGAGCGAGAGAGCGAGGGAGGGAGCGAGAGAGCGAGGGAGGGAGCGAGAGAGCGAGGGAGGGAGCGAGAGAGCGAGGGAGGGAGCGAGAGAGCGAGGGAGGGAGCGAGAGAGCGAGGGAGGGAGCGAGAGAGCGAGGGAGGGAGCGAGAGGGAGCGAGGGAGCGAGAGCAAGAGCGAGAGAGAGCGAGAGCGAGCGAGGGAGAGCGAGGGCGCGACAGAGTGCCAGAGAGCGAGGGAGCGAGAGCGCGAGCGAGAGGGAGTGAGAGGGTGCGCCAGCGAGGGAGCGAGAGCACGAGCGAGAGAGAATGAGAGGGAGCGGGGGCGAGCGAGGGAGCGAGAGCACGAGCGAGAGAGAGGGAGCGAGAGAGCGAGGGAGGGAGCGAGAGAGCGAGGGAGGGAGCGAGAGAGCGAGGGAGGGAGCGAGAGGGAGCGGGGGCGAGTGAGGGAGCCAGAGCAAGAGTGAGAGAGCGCGAGAGGGAGCGGGGGCGAGCGAGGGAGCGAGAGCACGAGCGAGAGAGAATGAGAGGGAGCGGGGGCGAGCGAGGGAGCGAGAGCACGAGCGAGAGAGAATGAGAGGGAGCGGGGGCGAGCGAGGGAGCGAGAGCACGAGCGAGAGAGAATGAGAGGGAGCGGGGGCGAGCGAGGGAGCGAGAGCACGAGCGAGAGAGAATGAGAGGGAGCGGGGGCGAGCGAGGGAGCGAGAGCACGAGCGAGAGAGAATGAGAGGGAGCGGGGGCGAGCGAGGGAGCGAGAGCACGAGTGAGAGAGCGCGAGAGGGAGTGGGGGCGAGCGAGGGAGAGCGAGGGAGCGAGCGAGAGGGAGCGAAAGGGAGCGAGAGAGCACGGGAGCGAGAGTGCGAGCGAGAGGGAGCGAGAGGGAGCGTGAGTGAGAGGGAGTGAGAGGGAGCGAGTGCGCGAGCGAGAGAGAGCGAGAGGGAGTGGGGGCGAGCGAGGGAGAGCGAGGGAGCGAGCGAGAGGGAGCGAAAGGGAGCGAGAGAGCACGGGAGCGAGAGTGCGAGCGAGAGGGAGCGAGAGGGAGCGTGAGTGAGAGGGAGTGAGAGGGAGCGAGTGCGCGAGCGAGAGAGAGCGAGAGGGAGTGGGGGCGAGCGAGGGAGAGCGAGGGAGCGAGCGAGAGGGAGCGAAAGGGAGCGAGAGAGCACGGGAGCGAGAGTGCGAGCGAGAGGGAGCGAGAGGGAGCGTGAGTGAGAGGGAGTGAGAGGGAGCGAGTGCGCGAGCGAGAGAGAGCGAGACACGAGAGAGAGGGAGTGATCGAGGGCGAGCGAGGAAGCGAGAGCACGAGCGAGAGGGAGCGAGAGGGAGTGGGGGCGAGAGCACGAGCGAGAGCACAAGCGAGGGAGCGAGGGAGCGAGAGTGAGCGAGGGAGAGCGAGGGAGCGAGAGCATGAGCGAGAGAGAGCGAGCGAGCGATAGGGAGTGAGAGGGAGCGAGAGCGAGCGAGAGGAAGCGAGCAAGAGAGAGCGAGGGAGCGAGAGCACGAGTGATAGAGGGAGCGAGAACGAGCGAGAGCGAGCGAGGGAGCGAGAGCGAGGGCACGAGAGCAAGAGCGAGAGAGAGTGAGAGGGAGCGTGGGAGCGAGAGGGAGCGAGAGCACGAGCGAGAGAGCGAGGGAGCGAGCGAGAGCGAGAGGGAGCCAGAGGGAGCGCGAGAGAGAGGGAGTGAGAGGAAGCGAGAGCGCGAGCGAGAGGGAGCGAGAGAGCGAGGGAGCGAGCGAGAGCGAGAGGGAGCCAGAGGGAGCGCGAGAGAGAGGGAGTGAGAGGAAGCGAGAGCGCGAGCGAGAGGGAGCGAGAGAGCGAGGGAGCGAGCGAGAGCGAGAGGGAGCCAGAGGGAGCGCGAGAGAGAGGGAGTGAGAGGAAGCGAGAGCGCGAGCGAGAGGGAGCGAGAGAGCGAGGGAGCGAGCGAGAGCGAGAGGGAGCCAGAGGGAGCGCGAGAGAGAGGGAGTGAGAGGAAGCGAGAGCGCGAGCGAGAGGGAGCGAGAGAGCGAGGGAGCGAGCGAGAGCGAGAGGGAGCCAGAGGGAGCGCGAGAGAGAGGGAGTGAGAGGAAGCGAGAGCGCGAGCGAGAGGGAGCGAGAGAGCGAGGGAGCGAGCGAGAGCGAGAGGGAGCCAGAGGGAGCGCGAGAGAGAGGGAGTGAGAGGAAGCGAGAGCGCGAGCGAGAGGGAGCGAGAGAGCGAGGGAGCGAGCGAGAGCGAGAGGGAGCCAGAGGGAGCGCGAGAGAGAGGGAGTGAGAGGAAGCGAGAGCGCGAGCGAGAGGGAGCGAGAGAGCGAGGGAGCGAGCGAGAGCGAGAGGGAGCCAGAGGGAGCGCGAGAGAGAGGGAGTGAGAGGAAGCGAGAGCGCGAGCGAGAGGGAGCGAGAGAGCGAGGGAGCGAGCGAGAGCGAGAGGGAGCCAGAGGGAGCGCGAGAGAGAGGGAGTGAGAGGAAGCGAGAGCGCGAGCGAGAGGGAGCGAGAGAGCGAGGGAGCGAGCGAGAGCGAGAGGGAGCCAGAGGGAGCGCGAGAGAGAGGGAGTGAGAGGAAGCGAGAGCGCGAGCGAGAGGGAGCGAGAGAGCGAGGGAGCGAGCGAGAGCGAGAGGGAGCCAGAGGGAGCGCGAGAGAGAGGGAGTGAGAGGAAGCGAGAGCGCGAGCGAGAGGGAGCGAGAGAGCGAGGGAGCGAGCGAGAGCGAGAGGGAGCCAGAGGGAGCGCGAGAGAGAGGGAGTGAGAGGAAGCGAGAGCGCGAGCGAGAGGGAGCGAGAGAGCGAGGGAGCGAGCGAGAGCGAGAGGGAGCCAGAGGGAGCGCGAGAGAGAGGGAGTGAGAGGAAGCGAGAGCGCGAGCGAGAGGGAGCGAGAGAGCGAGGGAGCGAGCGAGAGCGAGAGGGAGCCAGAGGGAGCGCGAGAGAGAGGGAGTGAGAGGAAGCGAGAGCGCGAGCGAGAGGGAGCGAGAGAGCGAGGGAGCGAGCGAGAGCGAGAGGGAGCCAGAGGGAGCGCGAGAGAGAGGGAGTGAGAGGAAGCGAGAGCGCGAGCGAGAGGGAGCGAGAGAGCGAGGGAGCGAGCGAGAGCGAGAGGGAGCCAGAGGGAGCGCGAGAGAGAGGGAGTGAGAGGAAGCGAGAGCGCGAGCGAGAGGGAGCGAGAGAGCGAGGGAGCGAGCGAGAGCGAGAGGGAGCCAGAGGGAGCGCGAGAGAGAGGGAGTGAGAGGAAGCGAGAGCGCGAGCGAGAGGGAGCGAGAGAGCGAGGGAGCGAGCGAGAGCGAGAGGGAGCCAGAGGGAGCGCGAGAGAGAGGGAGTGAGAGGAAGCGAGAGCGCGAGCGAGAGGGAGCGAGAGAGCGAGGGAGCGAGCGAGAGCGAGAGGGAGCCAGAGGGAGCGCGAGAGAGAGGGAGTGAGAGGAAGCGAGAGCGCGAGCGAGAGGGAGCGAGAGAGCGAGGGAGCGAGCGAGAGCGAGAGGGAGCCAGAGGGAGCGCGAGAGAGAGGGAGTGAGAGGAAGCGAGAGCGCGAGCGAGAGGGAGCGAGAGAGCGAGGGAGCGAGCGAGAGCGAGAGGGAGCCAGAGGGAGCGCGAGAGAGAGGGAGTGAGAGGAAGCGAGAGCGCGAGCGAGAGGGAGCGAGAGAGCGAGGGAGCGAGCGAGAGCGAGAGGGAGCCAGAGGGAGCGCGAGAGAGAGGGAGTGAGAGGAAGCGAGAGCGCGAGCGAGAGGGAGCGAGAGAGCGAGGGAGCGAGCGAGAGCGAGAGGGAGCCAGAGGGAGCGCGAGAGAGAGGGAGTGAGAGGAAGCGAGAGCGCGAGCGAGAGGGAGCGAGAGAGCGAGGGAGCGAGCGAGAGCGAGAGGGAGCCAGAGGGAGCGCGAGAGAGAGGGAGTGAGAGGAAGCGAGAGCGCGAGCGAGAGGGAGCGAGAGAGCGAGGGAGCGAGCGAGAGCGAGAGGGAGCCAGAGGGAGCGCGAGAGAGAGGGAGTGAGAGGAAGCGAGAGCGCGAGCGAGAGGGAGCGAGAGAGCGAGGGAGCGAGCGAGAGCGAGAGGGAGCCAGAGGGAGCGCGAGAGAGAGGGAGTGAGAGGAAGCGAGAGCGCGAGCGAGAGGGAGCGAGAGAGCGAGGGAGCGAGCGAGAGCGAGAGGGAGCCAGAGGGAGCGCGAGAGAGAGGGAGTGAGAGGAAGCGAGAGCGCGAGCGAGAGGGAGCGAGAGAGCGAGGGAGCGAGCGAGAGCGAGAGGGAGCCAGAGGGAGCGCGAGAGAGAGGGAGTGAGAGGAAGCGAGAGCGCGAGCGAGAGGGAGCGAGAGAGCGAGGGAGCGAGCGAGAGCGAGAGGGAGCCAGAGGGAGCGCGAGAGAGAGGGAGTGAGAGGAAGCGAGAGCGCGAGCGAGAGGGAGCGAGAGAGCGAGGGAGCGAGCGAGAGCGAGAGGGAGCCAGAGGGAGCGCGAGAGAGAGGGAGTGAGAGGAAGCGAGAGCGCGAGCGAGAGGGAGCGAGAGAGCGAGGGAGCGAGCGAGAGAGCGAGGGAGCGAGAGGGAGCGAGGGAGGGAGCGAGAGTGAGGGAGCGAAAGCATGAGCGAGAGGGAGCGAGAGCGAGCGAGGGAGCGAGAGCATGAGCGAGAGAGAGCGAGAGCATGAGCAAGAGATCGAGGGAGCGAGAGCACGAGCGAGAGAGCGAGGGAGCGAGCGAGAGCGAGAGGGAGCCAGAGGGAGCGCGAGAGAGAGGGAGTGAGAGGAAGCGAGAGCGCGAGCGAGAGGGATCGAGAGGGAGCGCGAGCGAGGGAGCGAGCGCACGAGCGAGAGCGAGCGAGAGGGAGCAAGAGGGAGTGAGAGCACGAGCGAGAGGGAGCGAGAGCTAACGAGGGAGTGAGAGCACGAGCGAGAGAGAGCGAGAGCGAGCGAGAGCGATAGCACGAGTGAGAGCACGAGCGAGAGCGAGCGAGAGGGAACGAGGGAGCGAGAGCAAGAGCGAGAGAGAGCGAGAGCGAGAGCGAGAGAGAGCAAGGGAGCGAGAGGGAGCGAGGGAGGGAGCGAGAGTGAGGGAGCGAGAGCGAGTGAGGGAGAGCGAGGGAGCGAGAGCGAGGGAGCGAGAGCATGAGCGAGAGAGAGCGAGAGCATGAGCAAGAGATCGAGGGAGCGAGAGCACGAGCGAGAGAGCGAGGGAGCGAGCGAGAGCGAGAGGGAGCCAGAGGGAGCGCGAGAGAGAGGGAGTGAGAGGAAGCGAGAGCGCGAGCGAGAGGGATCGAGAGGGAGCGCGAGCGAGGGAGCGAGCGCAGCACGAGCAAGAGGGAGTGAGAGGGAGCGAGAGGGAGCGAGGGAGCGAGCGAGAGAGCGAGGGAGCGAGAGTGAGAGGGAGCAAGAGCGAGCGAGGGAGAGCGAGGGAGCAAGAGCGCGAGCGAGAGGGAGTGAGAGGAAGCGAGAGGGAGCGAGGGAGCGAGAGCGAGAGGGAGCGAGAGAGCGAGGGAGCAAGAGCGCGAGCGAGAGGGAGTGAGAGGAAGCGAGAGGGAGCGAGGGAGCGAGAGCGAGAGGGAGCGAGAGAGCGAGGGAGCAAGAGCGCGAGCGAGAGGGAGTGAGAGGAAGCGAGAGGGAGCGAGGGAGCGAGAGCGAGAGGGAGCGAGAGAGCGAGGGAGCAAGAGCGCGAGCGAGAGGGAGTGAGAGGAAGCGAGAGGGAGCGAGGGAGCGAGAGCGAGAGGGAGCGAGAGAGCGAGGGAGCAAGAGCGCGAGCGAGAGGGAGTGAGAGGAAGCGAGAGGGAGCGAGGGAGCGAGAGCGAGAGGGAGCGAGAGAGCGAGGGAGCAAGAGCGCGAGCGAGAGGGAGTGAGAGGAAGCGAGAGGGAGCGAGGGAGCGAGAGCGAGAGGGAGCGAGAGAGCGAGGGAGCAAGAGCGCGAGCGAGAGGGAGTGAGAGGAAGCGAGAGGGAGCGAGGGAGCGAGAGCGAGAGGGAGCGAGAGAGCGAGGGAGCAAGAGCGCGAGCGAGAGGGAGTGAGAGGAAGCGAGAGGGAGCGAGGGAGCGAGAGCGAGAGGGAGCGAGAGAGCGAGGGAGCAAGAGCGCGAGCGAGAGGGAGTGAGAGGAAGCGAGAGGGAGCGAGGGAGCGAGAGCGAGAGGGAGCGAGAGAGCGAGGGAGCAAGAGCGCGAGCGAGAGGGAGTGAGAGGAAGCGAGAGGGAGCGAGGGAGCGAGAGCGAGAGGGAGCGAGAGAGCGAGGGAGCAAGAGCGCGAGCGAGAGGGAGTGAGAGGAAGCGAGAGGGAGCGAGGGAGCGAGAGCGAGAGGGAGCGAGAGAGCGAGGGAGCAAGAGCGCGAGCGAGAGGGAGTGAGAGGAAGCGAGAGGGAGCGAGGGAGCGAGAGCGAGAGGGAGCGAGAGAGCGAGGGAGCAAGAGCGCGAGCGAGAGGGAGTGAGAGGAAGCGAGAGGGAGCGAGGGAGCGAGAGCGAGAGGGAGCGAGAGAGCGAGGGAGCAAGAGCGCGAGCGAGAGGGAGTGAGAGGAAGCGAGAGGGAGCGAGGGAGCGAGAGCGAGAGGGAGCGAGAGAGCGAGGGAGCAAGAGCGCGAGCGAGAGGGAGTGAGAGGAAGCGAGAGGGAGCGAGGGAGCGAGAGCGAGAGGGAGCGAGAGAGCGAGGGAGCAAGAGCGCGAGCGAGAGGGAGTGAGAGGAAGCGAGAGGGAGCGAGGGAGCGAGAGCGAGAGGGAGCGAGAGAGCGAGGGAGCAAGAGCGCGAGCGAGAGGGAGTGAGAGGAAGCGAGAGGGAGCGAGGGAGCGAGAGCGAGAGGGAGCGAGAGAGCGAGGGAGCAAGAGCGCGAGCGAGAGGGAGTGAGAGGAAGCGAGAGGGAGCGAGGGAGCGAGAGCGAGAGGGAGCGAGAGAGCGAGGGAGCAAGAGCGCGAGCGAGAGGGAGTGAGAGGAAGCGAGAGGGAGCGAGGGAGCGAGAGCGAGAGGGAGCGAGAGAGCGAGGGAGCAAGAGCGCGAGCGAGAGGGAGTGAGAGGAAGCGAGAGGGAGCGAGGGAGCGAGAGCGAGAGGGAGCGAGAGAGCGAGGGAGCAAGAGCGCGAGCGAGAGGGAGTGAGAGGAAGCGAGAGGGAGCGAGGGAGCGAGAGCGAGAGGGAGCGAGAGAGCGAGGGAGCAAGAGCGCGAGCGAGAGGGAGTGAGAGGAAGCGAGAGGGAGCGAGGGAGCGAGAGCGAGAGGGAGCGAGAGAGCGAGGGAGCAAGAGCGCGAGCGAGAGGGAGTGAGAGGAAGCGAGAGGGAGCGAGGGAGCGAGAGCGAGAGGGAGCGAGAGAGCGAGGGAGCAAGAGCGCGAGCGAGAGGGAGTGAGAGGAAGCGAGAGGGAGCGAGGGAGCGAGAGCGAGAGGGAGCGAGAGAGCGAGGGAGCAAGAGCGCGAGCGAGAGGGAGTGAGAGGAAGCGAGAGGGAGCGAGGGAGCGAGAGCGAGAGGGAGCGAGAGAGCGAGGGAGCAAGAGCGCGAGCGAGAGGGAGTGAGAGGAAGCGAGAGGGAGCGAGGGAGCGAGAGCGAGAGGGAGCGAGAGAGCGAGGGAGCAAGAGCGCGAGCGAGAGGGAGTGAGAGGAAGCGAGAGGGAGCGAGGGAGCGAGAGCGAGAGGGAGCGAGAGAGCGAGGGAGCAAGAGCGCGAGCGAGAGGGAGTGAGAGGAAGCGAGAGGGAGCGAGGGAGCGAGAGCGAGAGGGAGCGAGAGAGCGAGGGAGCAAGAGCGCGAGCGAGAGGGAGTGAGAGGAAGCGAGAGGGAGCGAGGGAGCGAGAGCGAGAGGGAGCGAGAGAGCGAGGGAGCAAGAGCGCGAGCGAGAGGGAGTGAGAGGAAGCGAGAGGGAGCGAGGGAGCGAGAGCGAGAGGGAGCGAGAGAGCGAGGGAGCAAGAGCGCGAGCGAGAGGGAGTGAGAGGAAGCGAGAGGGAGCGAGGGAGCGAGAGCGAGAGGGAGCGAGAGAGCGAGGGAGCAAGAGCGCGAGCGAGAGGGAGTGAGAGGAAGCGAGAGGGAGCGAGGGAGCGAGAGCGAGAGGGAGCGAGAGAGCGAGGGAGCAAGAGCGCGAGCGAGAGGGAGTGAGAGGAAGCGAGAGGGAGCGAGGGAGCGAGAGCGAGAGGGAGCGAGAGAGCGAGGGAGCAAGAGCGCGAGCGAGAGGGAGTGAGAGGAAGCGAGAGGGAGCGAGGGAGCGAGAGCGAGAGGGAGCGAGAGAGCGAGGGAGCAAGAGCGCGAGCGAGAGGGAGTGAGAGGAAGCGAGAGGGAGCGAGGGAGCGAGAGCGAGAGGGAGCGAGAGAGCGAGGGAGCAAGAGCGCGAGCGAGAGGGAGTGAGAGGAAGCGAGAGGGAGCGAGGGAGCGAGAGCGAGAGGGAGCGAGAGAGCGAGGGAGCAAGAGCGCGAGCGAGAGGGAGTGAGAGGAAGCGAGAGGGAGCGAGGGAGCGAGAGCGAGAGGGAGCGAGAGAGCGAGGGAGCAAGAGCGCGAGCGAGAGGGAGTGAGAGGAAGCGAGAGGGAGCGAGGGAGCGAGAGCGAGAGGGAGCGAGAGAGCGAGGGAGCAAGAGCGCGAGCGAGAGGGAGTGAGAGGAAGCGAGAGGGAGCGAGGGAGCGAGAGCGAGAGGGAGCGAGAGAGCGAGGGAGCAAGAGCGCGAGCGAGAGGGAGTGAGAGGAAGCGAGAGGGAGCGAGGGAGCGAGAGCGAGAGGGAGCGAGAGAGCGAGGGAGCAAGAGCGCGAGCGAGAGGGAGTGAGAGGAAGCGAGAGGGAGCGAGGGAGCGAGAGCGAGAGGGAGCGAGAGAGCGAGGGAGCAAGAGCGCGAGCGAGAGGGAGTGAGAGGAAGCGAGAGGGAGCGAGGGAGCGAGAGCGAGAGGGAGCGAGAGAGCGAGGGAGCAAGAGCGCGAGCGAGAGGGAGTGAGAGGAAGCGAGAGGGAGCGAGGGAGCGAGAGCGAGAGGGAGCGAGAGAGCGAGGGAGCAAGAGCGCGAGCGAGAGGGAGTGAGAGGAAGCGAGAGGGAGCGAGGGAGCGAGAGCGAGAGGGAGCGAGAGAGCGAGGGAGCAAGAGCGCGAGCGAGAGGGAGTGAGAGGAAGCGAGAGGGAGCGAGGGAGCGAGAGCGAGAGGGAGCGAGAGAGCGAGGGAGCAAGAGCGCGAGCGAGAGGGAGTGAGAGGAAGCGAGAGGGAGCGAGGGAGCGGGAGCAAGAGCATGAGTGAGAGAGAGCAAGAGCGAGCGATAGGAAGTGAGAGGGAGCGAGAGCGAGCGAGAGAGCGAGAGGGAGCGAAGGATAGCGAGGGAGCGAGAGCATGAGCGAGAGAGGGAGCGAGAGGGAGCGAGAGCACGAGCGAGAGAGAGCGAGAGGGAGCGAGAGCACGAGCGAGAGAGAGCGAGAGGGAGCGAGAGCACGAGCGAGAGAGAGCGAGAGGGAGCGAGAGCACGAGCGAGAGAGAGCGAGAGGGAGCGAGAGCACGAGCGAGAGAGAGCGAGAGGGAGCGAGAGCACGAGCGAGAGAGAGCGAGAGGGAGCGAGAGCACGAGCGAGAGAGAGCGAGAGGGAGCGAGAGCACGAGCGAGAGAGAGCGAGAGGGAGCGAGAGCACGAGCGAGAGAGAGCGAGAGGGAGCGAGAGCACGAGCGAGAGAGAGCGAGAGGGAGCGAGAGCACGAGCGAGAGAGAGCGAGAGGGAGCGAGAGCACGAGCGAGAGAGAGCGAGAGGGAGCGAGAGCACGAGCGAGAGAGAGCGAGAGGGAGCGAGAGCACGAGCGAGAGAGAGCGAGAGGGAGCGAGAGCACGAGCGAGAGAGAGCGAGAGGGAGCGAGAGCACGAGCGAGAGAGAGCGAGAGGGAGCGAGAGCACGAGCGAGAGAGAGCGAGAGGGAGCGAGAGCACGAGCGAGAGAGAGCGAGAGGGAGCGAGAGCACGAGCGAGAGAGAGCGAGAGGGAGCGAGAGCACGAGCGAGAGAGAGCGAGAGGGAGCGAGAGCACGAGCGAGAGAGAGCGAGAGGGAGCGAGAGCACGAGCGAGAGAGAGCGAGAGGGAGCGAGAGCACGAGCGAGAGGGAGCGAGAGGGAGCGAGAGCGAGCGAGGGAGCGAGAGAGAGGGAGCGAGAGAGAGAGGGAGCGAGCGGGAGCGAGGGAGGGCGCGAGAGAGAGCTGGAGCGAGAGGGAGTGAGCGGGAGCGAGGGAGGGAGCGAGAGAGAGCGGGAGGGAGCGAGAGGGAGGGAGCGAGAGAGAGAGGGAGCGAGCGGGAGCGAGGGAGGGCGCGAGAGAGAGCTGGAGCGAGAGGGAGTGAGCGGGAGCGAGGGAGGGAGCGAGAGAGAGCGGGAGGGAGCGAGAGGGAGGGAGCGAGAGAGAGAGGGAGCGAGCGGGAGCGAGGGAGGGCGCGAGAGAGAGCTGGAGCGAGAGGGAGTGAGCGGGAGCGAGGGAGGGAGCGAGAGAGAGCGGGAGGGAGCGAGAGGGAGGGAGCGAGAGAGAGAGGGAGCGAGCGGGAGCGAGGGAGGGCGCGAGAGAGAGCTGGAGCGAGAGGGAGTGAGCGGGAGCGAGGGAGGGAGCGAGAGAGAGCGGGAGGGAGCGAGAGGGAGGGAGCGAGAGAGAGAGGGAGCGAGCGGGAGCGAGGGAGGGCGCGAGAGAGAGCTGGAGCGAGAGGGAGTGAGCGGGAGCGAGGGAGGGAGCGAGAGAGAGCGGGAGGGAGCGAGAGGGAGGGAGCGAGAGAGAGAGGGAGCGAGCGGGAGCGAGGGAGGGCGCGAGAGAGAGCTGGAGCGAGAGGGAGTGAGCGGGAGCGAGGGAGGGAGCGAGAGAGAGCGGGAGGGAGCGAGAGGGAGGGAGCGAGCGAGAGCGAGCGAGAGGGTGAGAGAGGGAGAGGGAGCGAGAGCACGAGCGAGAGGGAGCGAGAGGGAGCGAGAGGGAGCGAGAGGGAGCGAGAGGGAGCGAGAGGGAGCGAGAGGGAGCGAGAGGGAGCGAGAGGGAGCGAGAGGGAGCGAGAGGGAGCGAGAGGGAGCGAGAGGGAGCGAGAGGGAGCGAGAGGGAGCGAGAGGGAGCGAGAGGGAGCGAGAGGGAGCGAGAGGGAGCGAGAGGGAGCGAGAGGGAGCGAGAGGGAGCGAGAGGGAGCGAGAGGGAGCGAGAGGGAGCGAGAGGGAGCGAGAGGGAGCGAGAGGGAGCGAGAGGGAGCGAGAGGGAGCGAGAGGGAGCGAGAGGGAGCGAGAGGGAGCGAGAGGGAGCGAGAGGGAGCGAGAGGGAGCGAGAGGGAGCGAGAGGGAGCGAGAGGGAGCGAGAGGGAGCGAGAGGGAGCGAGAGGGAGCGAGAGGGAGCGAGAGGGAGCGAGAGGGAGCGAGAGGGAGCGAGAGGGAGCGAGAGGGAGCGAGAGGGAGCGAGAGGGAGCGAGAGGGAGCGAGAGGGAGCGAGAGGGAGCGAGAGGGAGCGAGAGGGAGCGAGAGGGAGCGAGAGGGAGCGAGAGGGAGCGAGAGGGAGCGAGAGGGAGCGAGAGGGAGCGAGAGGGAGCGAGAGGGAGCGAGAGGGAGCGAGAGGGAGCGAGAGGGAGCGAGAGGGAGCGAGAGGGAGCGAGAGGGAGCGAGAGGGAGCGAGAGGGAGCGAGAGGGAGCGAGAGGGAGCGAGAGGGAGCGAGAGGGAGCGAGAGGGAGCGAGAGGGAGCGAGAGGGAGCGAGAGGGAGCGAGAGGGAGCGAGAGGGAGCGAGAGGGAGCGAGAGGGAGCGAGAGGGAGCGAGAGGGAGCGAGAGGGAGCGAGAGGGAGCGAGAGGGAGCGAGAGGGAGCGAGAGGGAGCGAGAGGGAGCGAGAGGGAGCGAGAGGGAGCGAGAGGGAGCGAGAGGGAGCGAGAGGGAGCGAGAGGGAGCGAGAGGGAGCGAGAGGGAGCGAGAGGGAGCGAGAGGGAGCGAGAGGGAGCGAGAGGGAGCGAGAGGGAGCGAGAGGGAGCGAGAGGGAGCGAGAGGGAGCGAGAGGGAGCGAGAGGGAGCGAGAGGGAGCGAGAGGGAGCGAGAGGGAGCGAGAGGGAGCGAGAGGGAGCGAGAGGGAGCGAGAGGGAGCGAGAGGGAGCGAGAGGGAGCGAGAGGGAGCGAGAGGGAGCGAGAGGGAGCGAGAGGGAGCGAGAGGGAGCGAGAGGGAGCGAGAGGGAGCGAGAGGGAGCGAGAGGGAGCGAGAGGGAGCGAGAGGGAGCGAGAGGGAGCGAGAGGGAGCGAGAGGGAGCGAGAGGGAGCGAGAGGGAGCGAGAGGGAGCGAGAGGGAGCGAGAGGGAGCGAGAGGGAGCGAGAGGGAGCGAGAGGGAGCGAGAGGGAGCGAGAGGGAGCGAGAGGGAGCGAGAGGGAGCGAGAGGGAGCGAGAGGGAGCGAGAGGGAGCGAGAGGGAGCGAGAGGGAGCGAGAGGGAGCGAGAGGGAGCGAGAGGGAGCGAGAGGGAGCGAGAGGGAGCGAGAGGGAGCGAGAGGGAGCGAGAGGGAGCGAGAGGGAGCGAGAGGGAGCGAGAGGGAGCGAGAGGGAGCGAGAGGGAGCGAGAGGGAGCGAGAGGGAGCGAGAGGGAGCGAGAGGGAGCGAGAGGGAGCGAGAGGGAGCGAGAGGGAGCGAGAGGGAGCGAGAGGGAGCGAGGGAGCGAGCGAGAGTGAGAGAGTGAGAGAGAGCGAGAGAGAGAGCGAGAGAGTGAGCACGAGTGAGAGAGTGAGCGAGATAGCGAACGCGAGTGAGGGAGCGCGAGCGAGGGAGCGAGAGCAAGCGGGAGCAAATGAGGGGTAGGGAGCGAGAGGGAGCGAGCGAGAGCAAGAGAGGGAGGGAGCGAGAGAGGGAGGGAGTGAGAGAGAGCAGGAGTGAGAGGGAGGGAGCGAGAGTGAGCGAGGGAGCGAGCGAGAGCGGGAGCGAGAGAGAGCGAGGGAGCGAGCAAGGGAGCGAGGGAGCGAGAGCGAGCAAGGGAGGGAGCAAGCGCGAGCGAGAGAGAGCAAGCGAGGGAGCAAGGGAGCGAGAGAGCGAGCGGGAGCGAGAGAGAGGGAGCGAGAGGGAGCAAGAGGGAGCGAGCGAGAGCGAGAGAGCAAGAGTGAGCAAGGGAGCAAGAGCAAGCAAGAGAGAGTGAGAGAGCGAGGGAGCGAGAGAGCGAGGGAGTGAGAGTGAGCGAGAGTGCGAGGGAGCGAGAGCAAGCGAGGGAGCAAGAGGGAGCGAGAGTGAGCGAGAGAGCAAGGGAGCGAGAGCACAAGCGAGAGAGCGTGAGAGCCTGCAAGAGAGCGAGGGAGCGAGCGAGAGAGAAAGCGAGAGCGAGCGAGAGTGAGTGAGGGAGCAAGAGCGAGCGAACGAGCGGGAGCGAGAGAGAGGAAGAGAGCGGGAGCGAACGAGGGAGCGAGAGCGAGCGGGAGCAAGAGAGAGCGAGAGAGAGGGAGCGAGAGGGAGCAAGAGGGAGCGAGCGAGAGAGCGAGAGAGAGCAAGAGCGAGCGAGGGAGCGCGAGAGAGAGAAAGCGAGAGCGAGCAAGGGAGCAAGAGAGCGAGGGAGCGAGAGGGAGTGAGAGAGCGAGGGAGCGAGAGGGTGAGGGAGCAAGAGAGCGAGAGCGAGCGAGAGCGAGTGAGGGAGCGAGCGAGGGAGCGAGAGCAAGTGAGGGAGTGAGAGAGAGCGAGAGTGAGCGAGAGAGCAAGGGAGTGAGAGCAGAAGCGAGAGAGCAAGCGAGAGCCAGCGAGGGATTGAGAGTGAGAGCGAGCGAGCAAGCAAGCGAGTGAGGACGAGAGTGAGCAGGGGAGAGCGAGATTTAATGGGAGCGAGTAGGAGAGGGAGAGTGTGGGGAAGCGAGAGAGAGGGAGAGAGAGCATGAGCAAGTGAGAAATCGAGCGAGAGTGAGTGAGATAGAGGGGAGGGGGGAGAGCGTGGGAGAAAGAGCGAGAGGGAGTGAGTGAGTGGGCGAGATAGAGAGATGGAGCGAGAGAGCAAGTGAGAGCGACTGAGCGAGGCCGAGCAAGCAAGACGGAATGAGAGAGTGAGCGAGGCCGAGCAAGAGAGCGAGCGAGACCGAGCAAGAGAGTGAGAGCATGCACAAGATTGAGCATGAGAGCAAGAGAGTGAGCAAGGCCGAGTGAGAGAGAAAGAGAGAGAGAGCAAGGTCAACTGAGAGAGCGAGAGAGACCAAGACTGAGTGAGAGAGACGGAGCGAGATGAAGCGAGCAAGACAGAGCGGGGAGGGGGGGTGAGCGAGAGCGTGAGTGAGAGTGAATGAGAGCAAGAGAGACCGAGAGAGAAAGAGCCCACGCAACTGAGCCCAAGAGACCACACGAGTGAGTGGGAGAGAGTGAGAGAACGAGTGAGTGCGAGAGAGCAAGAGAGAGCACGAGTGCGAGAGGGAGAGTGAGGGAGAACAAGGAAGAAGGAGAGAGAGTGGGAGCGGAAGAGTGAGAGAGAGGGTGAACGAGAGAGAGGGATGGAGGGGGAGGGAGCCAGGGAGAGAGGGAGAGTGAGAGAGACAGGGAGAGAGTGAGAGAGCAAAAGAGCAAGTGGGAGAAAGTGGTAGAAAGTGAGAGTGACTGCGCGTGACAGAGTGAGGCCGAGAGAGCGAGACGCAGAGAGAGAGCTAGCGAGACCAAGCAAGAGAGCAGGAGAGCAAGAGAGAGAGCGAGACAGAGCCAGACCAAGCGAGTAAGACTGAGTGAGAGAGCGAGATGGAACAAGAAGGCAAGCGATGCCAAGCGAGTGAGATGGAGCAAGAGAGCGAGTGAGACCGAGACCGAGCGAGCGAGATGGAGTGAGAGAGAGAGCAAGACTGAGCAAGACCAAGCAAGAGAGAGAGACTGAGTGAGACCGAGCTGGCGAGAGACTGAGCAAGAGAGCAAGTCTGAGAGAGAGAGAGAGAGAGGCTGAGCTCGGAGCGAGACCAAGCGAGACAGTGAGTGAGACCGAGCAAGAGAGCAATAGCAAGTGAGTGAGGCTGAGCAAGAGAGTGAGACAGAGCAAGAGAGCGAGACTGAGACCAAGCAAGTGAGACCGAACAAGTGAGACCAAGAGAGAGAGAGAGGCCCAAAAAGGCCAAGCGAGGCTGGGCAAGATAGAGAGATGGAGTGAGAAAGAGCGAGACTGAGTGAGAGAGGGAGCTAGACCGAGTGAGCAAGACTGAGTGAGAGAGAGAGAGAGTGAGACAGAATGAGCAAAGCTGAGTGAGAGCGCAAGCAAGACTGAATGAGTGAGGCTGAGTGAGCGAGACTGAGTGAGAGGCCGAGTGAGGTTGAGCGAGCGAGGCTGGGCGAGAGGGTGAGAGAGCAAGCGAGCAAACGAGGCCAAGAGAGCGAGGCCAAGTGAGAGAGAGTGAGAATGAGAGAGAGAGAGACAGAGAGACCGAGGTGGGGGGCTGAGTGAGCAAGACTGAGTGAGTGAGACGGGGACAGAGTGAGCGAGACCAAGCAAGCAATGGTGAGTGAGATTGAGCGAGAGCGCGATGGTGAGACCGAGAGAGTGAGAGGGTGAGACTGAGCAAGCAAGAGAGCGAGAGAGCGAGACTGAGGGAGGGAGGGAGCGAGTGAGAGTGAGTGTGAGAGAGCATGAGCAACATAGTGAATGAGCGAGAGTGAATGAGCGAAGGAACGTGAGAGTGATAGCAAGCGAACAAGTGAGAGAGTGAATGAGCAAGAGTGATAGCGAACAAATGAGAAAGTGAATGAGCGAGAGCAAGAGAGAAAGCGAGAGAGCAAAAGAGGGAACAAGAGCACAAACGAGCAAGAGAGAGAGGGAGAGAATGAGCTTGAGAGCAAATGAGTGAAGGAGCGAGGCCAAGTGAGACTGAACAAGAGAGCTAATGGGCGAGACAGCGAGCAAGATAGAGAGCGAGCGAGAGCGAGAGCGAGAGCAAGACAGAGAGCGAGCGAGAGCGAGCGAGGGCAAGAGCGACATAGCGAATGGGCGAGAGCGAGCTGGCGAGAGAGAGCAAGGCAGTGAGAGAGCTAGACAGTAAGTGAGAGCCAGCGAGCGAGAGAACGAGTGGGAGAGAGAGAGCAAACGAATGAGAGATCAAGAGATAGCAAACAAATGAGAGAGCACGTGGGAGAGCGAGCGAGCACGTGCACAAGAGAGTGAGAACGTGCACGGGAGAGCGAGCTGGTGAGTGAGCAAGCGCATGAGAGAGCAAGAGAGTGAATGAGAGAGTGAGAGCAAGTGAGTGAGAGTGTGAGTGAGTGAGAGAGCGTGAGAGAGTGAATGTGCAGGGAAGCCAGAGAGAGAGACAGACAGACAGAGCGAGAACACATGAGTGAATAAGCGAGAGAGTATGAGAGAGAGCGTGCAAGAGAGTGCGTGGGAGAGCGAGCAGACGTGTGAAAGAGAGCGTGAACTAGAGCAAGTGAGATAGCTCATGAGAGCCATTGAGAGAGCGACAGCGATAGCAAGCGATAGCAAGTGAGCAAATGAGTGAGAGATCAAATGAGCAAGAGAGTGAGAGCGAGCGAGCCTGAGAGTGAGCAAGAGCAAGAGAGCAAATGGGTGAGAGAGAGCAAGTGAGAGCGAACAGGTGGGGGAACAAATGGGCGAGAGAGCGAGTGAGAGCGAATGGGCAGGAGAGCAAACGGGCAGGAGAGTGAGCGAGAGAGTGGTATCCTAGGTGTGAGAGAAAGAGAGCGAGAGCGAGCGAGCACCGAGCGAGAGAGAGTGACCGAGCAAGAGCAGCAGAGAGCACGAGAGAGCAACCAAGCAGGAGTGGGGGGAGAGAGAGAATGCACAACCGAGTGGGAGGGGGAGAGAGGGAGAGCACACAACCAAGCGAGAGAGCTACCAAGCGAGAGAGCGCACGCATGAGAGAGAGTGTGAATGAGAGAGAGAGAGAGAGCCAACAAGCGAGAGAGCGAATGAGCAAGAGAGAGAGAGAGCAATAGAGTGAATGAGAGAGAGAGAGAGAGAGAGTGAGCTAGAGCGAGTGAGTGAGAGAGCACAAGGGGAAAAAAGAAAAAAGGCTCTAAGGGGAAAGGGCAAGTTTATGAGTGAGTGTTTTTTGTAAGGAGGGATTAAGGAAGTCTGTGTTAGAGATGTGAGATTTAGGGGAGGGTGACACTAGCTTCTCTTTAAGTACATTTTCCTCCTGAGTGCATTTACTTCCATCACAATGGGCTAGAAGAGATCTTTGTTTCGTGGTGCTGTGCTCCTGAGACCTAATTTAGCTTTTATAGGAAATTCCAAAAGAGACAGAGTGAGCAAGAGAGACCTGAACAAAGATATGAGTTTGCACTGGGAATATTGATACTTGTGGACTGCTTCTATAAATCCTTTAAAAGAAATTATCCTAGAAAATGCTGACTTGGACTTTCTGCTGGAGGATGGCTGAACTTCATTGATGCACATTGGTTGGTACGAATGTGTGTCTTAGAGCAGCCTTGGTTTGTTACTTTTAAGTAACAAATAAAGGGTCATTAAAGTCAAGCAGAAATACATTAAAAATGAATTTAATTTTGATTTTGAAAATGCCTTTTTGATTGAGGCATCCTGTTAAAAGCATATACTGGGTCTAGCTCTGTGACCATAACAAGAACATTCTCAGACATCTCAAAACTTGATATGTGACATTTGTTATTCCTTTGTTCAAGTCACTTTGACAGTTTGGAGTGGATTTGCTTTCTTCTACCATGAAACTGTGAAAAGGTCATCTTTGCCCTCCTGAATTTAGGGCCACCGTGATATTTTTAGATGTTTCCTGTATTTTTGCAGTTTGTCATTTGATCAGGGATGGAATTGTATCATATGTTCGCATAAGCATATGAATCCTATTCAGTAAGACCTATTTCTGTAGAGCCTTGATTTCAGAGCCCTCCCTTGCCCCACTAGAGATGTATCTTATTAGTATCGTTATTTTAAAAGTACAAAGTGAAACAAGTTTATATGTTGGGAAAATTTGCTGTGAAGTAATTTATTCTGTTGTCAGTAACACAAATGCTGTTTTGATGTATAGTGTTATGGACAGCTGTGGAAATATCTTTTGGGCTAAAATGAGACGAGATGAGATGAATCTCCCATCAGTTGATTTCATTTTAGGCTTTATTGATACTTTTTTGCTGATACAATCATCCCACAGGTTCATATTTTACTTGTACATTTCCTTCAAAGAGTATTTGATAAATAAATCATAGGCTTGTCAACAACATACTGAAAGCTGATTTGACTCAGCTTAAAAGTATATACATAAAAGTGCATACTTTTAAGGAAACCATATTTATACTTTATTTATCATCTCATTTTGACTGGCTTTCTTTTTCTTTTCTAAAGAGCACTCACTAGTAAATATTCTACTTCCATAAACTCATGCCCACAGAAGTAATCACTAGTTTATGTCATATTGCTTAGCTGAAACTTGTTGTTGCTAGGCAGCCAGACTTGCACAAACCAATAAAATTATATAATTTTCTTCAGCAGCAGATTTCAATTAAAGGTCTGGACATATAACTGATTTCTTCAGATGGTCAACTCCACTGGTAAAAAAGAGAGGAAGCAAGGGCTAGGCTGCACATAAGTGTGGTTCCTTAAGGTTTTTTCTGGTAAATTTAGTCTGGATAACTGATGGAAATGCTTAAACAAATAATTGAGCTGTTTCAATTTCTCTTATGTAAATCTATTTGGACAGGAAAATAGTGTTTGCAGTTATGTTTGTTTCCTTCATTTTCCAAATAGATTTTATTCCCTATATCGTGTGTTGAGGAGGAAAAAAAAATGAACACAAGCCAACAGAAAATCCTACTCTAATATAAGGTGTGGTTAGGAATCCCTCAAAAAGAATCTGCCCTAAGATTCTTTTTCACTGAAGAAAGAAGCACGCGAATAAATTTCCAAAGCATTTTGAGATCTGCATAAAAATATTGAATGCTGAGAAAAGAGATCAGAGATTAAACAAGAGGCTTTAGGATCAACATAATATCTTGCGTTTGTAAAGAACCTATTTTGGTATGCTGAGGAGTCACATGGGGAACTCAAAAGAATCTAGAAAAAGGAAGCATTTACTTCAGGGCTATGTCTTGGTGTCTTGAGTCATGGCTGAAAAAACTGAAGTGACAAAAGCAGAATTTGAGATGGTGTCATTCGCTAAAATTTAAGCTAATTCTGCTAACTTGGCATTTCAAAACATAGGTTGAAGAAGAAATGTTGTAGGCAGGTGGTTATCTTGTCTCATCAAAATGTAAATGGATCATTTTTACCTATCATGTTGGGGGGGGGATAGAATTTAGGTATTCAATTCATTTTCTGAAAGATTGTTCTTGTTATATCCCTCAACCCTTTCCTAACATACTGCTTTCTACCAAAGATATTGCAGTACTTGCTATGCAGAATTATACTGATTTCAGCTTTGCTGTTGCTGTAGTAGTATTTTCATACGAGTGCATAGTCTCATAATACATAGGACTGACCTATTCATTCTTTAGCCCTTCTGCCAGGAAATACTACTGAAGGAAGAAGCAGTAAGAGCATATAGAGACCAGTACATCTCATGAAGTTTTCCACAGCAACACTATAATTATATTAGAAGTTGTATTCTGATCTCAATTATAGGCATGCAAATCTGCAATTTCCCT